GCCTCTATTTTGTCCTTGATCACATTATTCCTCTCTTCTTCTTTCCCTCCCAACAATGATCACACTGTTTTCACAATTCTGACATTTATAGTTCTGCTTGCTTTTGGTTGGAGAATTTGCCAAAGTGTATTGCCAGGGCACAGGTCCTCTGGCAGTATTGGGTGTTTTAGGACCAATTGTTGATTTCTGGGTTTTCTGTCAACCAACTTTATAATTCCTGGATGACAAATAAATTGGCAGCCTTATAAATCCTAACTAAAAGGCTATTGGTTATCCGTTTTACAAAAACAATTCTAAATGTTTGAAGAAAGCTAAGTCCTTAGAGTGGACAGTTGTGAGAAAAATAAAATACTAATTCCATTTTAACATAAAGTGAATATATATTTTTATACACTAAACTTTTTAAATCTCCTACCTATACACAAATACTGAAAAAAGTTAATAAGCTAGAAAAGTGTATTTTGGTATTGGCATGAAACTAAGTACATGAGGCATTCCATTTGCTTTTAGAATTCCCTTTTCCAGTAATGATAAACATAGTACTTCTTAAATTGGAATTTTAAAATTGGAGACTAGGTTTCCCATGATTGGAATGTAACCAAAGACCAACTCTGCTCATTGCAATTTATTAGTTAAGTTTGGTTAACAGTGGTTAGCAAATGGTATATTATCATATCACATACCTGCAAAGTTCAGCATTAGAAACATTTGTTAATATATTTTAATGAACAGTTTATTGCTTGTTATTTATTTTATGAATGACTCAGCTTTCAAAAAGTTAAGTCATTCTTACTATAATTTTGCTTATAAAATGTAGCAATTCTTTTTTCACTTAAACCTTGTCTAAATGACTTTTCATTTATGCAAAGTATGATTTTTTTCTAAATGGATCTAAATTTGAAACAAATTTCAAAGAGGTTAACATATATAGTGAGAAAGAAACTTGATTACTCCACATTCTTTTAATATATTATGCATTGGGAACATTGAATGAACAGTGCACATTGCCATATTTCTGGTCGTTTATTTACCAGATATTTATTGAACACATACTGTGTGCCTTGTGCTATGTTAGGTGTCAAGTTGCAATGTTTAGTAAAACCACTGGGGGAAAGATATATTAAACATAATAAGATAAAAAGTAAAATATTAAGAGTCATGATAAGTTCCAGAGGTACTAGGTACCTAAGGTTCTTTTAGTGGGGAATTTGTGACCCTCTTCAGAAAAGACTTTCCTTGGAAATGACAGTTGATCCCAAATCAAGATGAACATATATTAGCAAGATAACATGGGAAGAAAAAATACTACTACTAAAGGAAATGGCAGCTGTAAAGGCTTTATGGTAGATGTGAGCATAGTGAGGACAAGGGATGAAAAGAAGGCCCACGTGGCCATCCTAAGAGCAATAAGTAACCATTAAAGAGAATTAAATAAGGTGTGACATCAGATCTGTGCATTAAAAAATTTTATTCTGACTGCATTATGAATAAGTGATTGGAGAGGGACAAGAATAGGTGTAGAGAAACCAATTAACAGTAACTCAGCCAAGATTGCTAAAAGGTCAAGTTAGAAAAAAAAGTGTACAATTTGAAAGATAATTAGTGGATAAAATTAACATGTCTTGGTTATAGATTCATTGTAAGAGATTTAGGAGAGCTACCTACAGTGACTCCTAGGTTTATAACTGAAAGGATTATTCCATTCCTTGAAATATGAAACACCAAAAAAGGTGGGGAGGGGCTCTAGTTGGGGGTGAACAACATGAATTCAACTATGAATTTGAGGTGATTTTGAGCATACTCAAAAAGAAATGTCAGACAGTTGCTCCTTTAGGTCTGGAGCCAAAAGGTTAGATCTCAGCCAAAGGCAAAATTTTTGAGTCATCTTTGTTTAGGTGACAAATTAAACCAGCATGTGCATACAGGATCTCTTAAGGCTAAAAAGTATATAGTGAAAAGAAGCACTGGCCGAACACCGCCTCTTGAACTCTAACATTTCATGGCTGGGTAGAGATGGATAGTCTTCAAAGAAGACCAAGATAGAGTCCAAGAAAGGAAGGAAGAAAACCAGAAGATTCATGGAACAACCAAGGGAAGAATGTTTCAAGAAGGAAGAAGTGGTCAACAAAGTCAAATGCTACTGAGATTTCAAGCAAAATGAAGCCAAAAAAAAATCACTGGTGTTCTTTTAGTTCCTTAGTTATAGCTCTTAGTATACTAATGAGAATGGAAGTCAAACTGGAATTGTGTGGCATGCAGAAATGCAGATAGTGAGTTTGGACATCTTTTTCTAAATGCTTAGCTCTCAGGGCAGTTAAAGAGAGGGTGCTTCTAGTGAACTATGTAGTAAGGATGTTTTGTTTCTCTTGTATTTAATCAAAATGACTCAGACACGTTTAAAAATCAGTGGGAAATGAATCCAGTAAGAGGAGCAGAATGACCGTGCTAGAGTAGGAGGGATAATCCATAGTAAAGGTTCTAGGAAGGCAGAAGAGGATGGACTCTTAAACACAACTAAGATTAACCTTAGATTATGCATAGGGATATTTCTTGTATTGTAACTATTAACAGAGAAGGAGGGTGATGTAAGTAAATTGGCATTCATGGTAGTGGAAAGAGATGATAGTTCCCAACTGATACTTGTTTTTTCCATGAAATTGAAAGAGAAGGGAGGGAGGAGGCCAGAGGATTTCAGAGAGTGGGCAAAAGCTAAAAATAGTCATTGTAGAGTAAATTGACCAAAAATACAATAGGATTGCTATGAAATGTTGGGGTCCATTTGAGGTTAGTTATGATGAATTTATAGTAGACAGCATGTTGCAAGCATCTCCTGGCTATTGGCGCGCAATCATGAAGAACCCAGAATGTTACTTTCATTCAACATTAATGTTTGGCTAACCAAAGGGATAGTGTTGATCATGTATCTAAACTGGATAAAAGGAAGAATATTAAAAAGAAGAGGACTGATTATTTAAAAGAAAGCGTGGGAGTCAGTGGACTGGTAGTCCCAAGAAGTCAAAGATGATTGTGGTAGGTGGAGTTTAACAAGTAAGCTGATAGAAGAAGTTAATCACAATATGGAATATTTGAATTAATAGTTTTAGAAATGGAATAGTTATGAGTGATGGACATGGTTTACAGTGGAACTGTAGAAGTAGGTGGCTGAGATGTAATAGATTAGGTCATTAAAAAAGAAGTCAAGAAGTGAGGATATAATTTTTGGGTGGGCTATCAAGTGGACATGTAAGTCACTCAGAATGATGGCAGAACTTAGGATGGAAAGAAATTATAAGTTGTTTGCCAATATTGTCAATGAATAAGAGGGTGAATAACATTAATGAAGAGTAAGAGAAGCTGTTACAGCCAAATGCAAGAGCCTTGAAGAAATAGGATGATGTTAGTACTGTTATTTCGACAAGAGGAATTTGGGGGATTATGTGTGCCAGGCACCCTTACAAGGCACAGAAAACACTAAATATTGCAAGGATCCTGTTTTCTAGAAGCTCACAGTCTATAGAAAAAGACAGCCACATGAGCAATTAGTGAGATAAATGCTTTACTATCAGAGACTATAAAGTGTAATAGGGACCCCAGGAATAGAGTGGTTATCTCTAACTGAAGAATTCGTTGAAGATTTCACTGGAAAGACTATATCAGAACTGAATTTTATGTAGCTCCTAAAGTGGAAAAGGGGAAGAAGGACATTCGAGGAGGAGTTATAAGATATATGACTCCCAACCATGGTAGACAAAACATAAACTTAGTGATAACATGCCATTTGTACTGAATGCTATTATGATGTGTAGTTCTTTGTAATTAGAATATTTCCATGTTTTGACCTATAGTTGTATTATTTGTTCTTAGAGTTCAGCATTGTTTTCTGATGGCGTGATTTAAAGTGTGTACCTATGTATATGTGTGTGCTCCAATGTGTATGTGTGTGCACATGTGCTTGCACATAATGTGTGCTTGTGTTTGTGGACTTTCTTTTAAAGTTATGCTTGAAATAATTTATTACTAAAAAATAAGTGCAAAGGTTGCTTTATAAATAAATAAAATAAATCATGTTCTTGCAATTTCTTTTGTTAATTCTCAAACACTCGTCCAGTAAATTAAATTCCTACCATTATGGGTAGGTTTTTTGAGGCTCTGTTTTAAACTTCAGGAAAAAAGTCATTTTATCAGAAAGATACCTGGACTCAAATGTTTCTCACAGCACAATGCACAGTCTCAAAGATGTGGAATCAACCCAAGTGCCCATCAATACACGAATGGATGAATAAAATGTGGTATATGTATACCATAGAATGCTACTCAACCATAAAAAAATGGTGAACTAATACCTTTTGTAACAACCTGGATAGAACTGGAGACCATTCTTCTAAGTGAATTATCACAAGAATGGAAAAATAAACAACACATGTACCCACTATTAAACTGAAACTAATCAATCAACACTCATGGGCGCATATGGAAGAAAAGCTCAACGGACACCAAGCAGGTGGTATGGGGGAGGAGGAGGTGGGTAAGTGGACACCTAACGGTTACAATGCATGCTGTCTGGGTGATGGACACACATAACTTTAACTCAAACTGCACAAAAGCAATTCATGTAACCAAAACATTTGTACCCCCGCAATATTGTGAAATTAAAAATAAAAATAAACCTCAGGAATGCCAAGATGAATATGATAGTCTCAGATCTTAAGGAACTCACAATTTATTACGTTCCAAGCTCACCAAGATGTAAATGTAACATTAAAATGTTAATCACTGGGAATGCTGTGACTTTTTAAGAATCATAACTTGTTTCTCTTAAGCCTTCAGACTCATTTTTAGACTATTATTCCTTCACTGTTTATGGAAAAAGTTTGATTTTGTCAAACTATAAATAAACAAAAACTTAAAGTGGTAGACCAAGTCTATAATATTAAGACTCAAAATAAAGTGTATTTGTCCTGAATTAAGTGCTTTGTTAATTTTGGCTTTATTTTTCAAAGGTTGTGAAGATGAGAAAAGAAGTGAAGAGAATCCGAGTTTTGGTTATCCGAAAACTTGTCAGAAGTGTTAGCAGACTGAAGTCAAAAAAGTTAGTCATTTAAAATAATGATCTTGTGACTAATAAAATGTCAAAATTTGAGTTTTTTTTAATATTTACAAAATTTGAGGGTGGAATGTAGAGTATTAATTAAATATCTTACTCATACAGCACTTCGTTTTATATGTAGAGATGATCTGAGTGAGAGAGAATGTGCTGTGTCAGCATGCCCTTGTATGGTTTGGACCATACTCTCTTAAGATGCGCAAGGAATTCTTCTGCTTTTAGTCTTTTTAGAACGAAATTCCCTTGGGGTTAGGCGTTTTATGTTATTAGAAGTTATTTTAAGATGTTGATATAGTTTAACAAACCTTGAATCAATTATGAAAATTTTCTATCATCTTTTTCCTTGAATTGCTAATTTGAAATCTTCAGTACCTTGTGTGTTAATCAGAACATTATGTTTCATGTAATTTTTTTGAAAAAAGATAATATTTTGTATTTTCAGCATTACTAGTGTTAGTGAAAAAGTATTTTATAGTTCTTATGATTTAAGCATGAATGCTTAGAAAGTCTTGTTCCTGATTAATTTTCTGTTCTTTCATAAATGTTTCAGAAGATAGCTCTTTATTTTTTCCTCTAATTCCAGACAATGAACTTCAATTTGATAAAATTATATCCAACCTTTAATTGTAGCTTATGATGTTTATATTACATTAAATACAATGTGCTATTGACTGATAAAAAGTATTATTATTTTCCCAATAAGGAACTAGGGAAGGCAGACTATCAGTGGTAATAATTGTTAATACAATGCCAGGACAATGCTTATTTTTGTCAATTTCTAACACCTAGGTTTGTTGATGAAATTGGAGTGTGTGTTGGGAAGAGGGGGGAATGGGCAGTGCATCATGGTGCTTTTCTAAAAGAAATGAGAAGACTTTTCATTATGATATGAATCTAAAATTAATACTTTGCCTGGCTACATATTGTAATGTGTTATTTTTTGCAGGGGTACTGAAGATGCACTGTTAAAAAACCAAAGACGGGCCCAACGATTACTTGAAGAAATCCATGCAATGAAGGTAGGAAAGGGACTTAGGTGGGTGTGTTTGTGTATATCTTTCTGTGTTAATCCTCTTAGCCTGCATTTTGTGTGTGTGGTATTACTTATTTGATTATTCCTGAGAGTTGCCTAAGACTGATTTTGTATGAGTCTGTTTGGTGAAGAATGTAGCACATTTAGAAAATTGTAATATGTTTAAGCTTGCATTTTTCCATGTTTTTAGCTGAAACTGTTAAAGTGTAGACTAATTTGAGTCAAAATTCTGCCAAACTAAACTCATCTATGTTTAATAATGCCTCATGCCTAAAATTTTTATTTTTACTGTAACTTTAGGCATGAAGTCAGTTCAAGAATTAAAGTGTTCATGCTAGTTGGGAATGTGGATGGTGCTGTTGGTGGCTGACATCATGCTTTGCCCATTGCCAACTCAATAAATTTTTATGTGGTGGTGTCAGCATTTTATTCAGTTCTGTAGTAACTTGAAATAAAATTAGTGTTGGATCAACATGATCCATATTTTTGTTTTTTTCAGCCAGACTCTTCACTAGTGTAATTTTTAGGTCTTCTTGCTGCTCTTACTTTGTGGAAACTTTCATTTACCAAATGACATACCATTAAATGTCTGGGAGACTGTTTTATTGTAGAACTTAAAAACAGCATTTGGTACCAGCAATTATCTTAATTGCAGGATCTTTTTGCATGCATATTTGACTATTATATTTTGGTATAACTTTCAAGTTTTGAGTTAAATAAAATAGCAAGAGAATTCTCTAACAATATTCTAATTGAGTTTAGTTACCAAAGCTTCTCATCCTTACTTCCTTTTAAAGGGATGGTAAATTATTTACTTGGACAAAGTTATCTCAGTTAATATGAATAAAAATAGATGTAGGAAATGACTCTTCCATAGGAGATAGGTTTGTTTCTTGTGTTTGTTCCTCTTCCCCCAACCCCCAGGACTCCAAAATTCATAGAATCTATTTGATGTATCTTTTCTTTCTCCAAGTTATCATATAATCCCTTTTTTATCTTGTCATTCAGGAAAAAAATGCTGTATATGATTCCTAATGATCATTTATGTTTCTTTGGTTTGCAGATCATTTAGGCTTTCTCATATACCTATGTTTTTCATAATAGTCCTACTAGAAATAAAATCTTTACAGAGTTTTGCTTTGAGGATAGCACTAATATAGGAAGTCATGATTTCTCTCTCTTTCACTTTCTCTTAACCAAGGTCCTTACTAAATTACATTGCCTACCTAAGTTTTTCCCTGTAATTTCTTCTGAATAGTCATTTTTGTAGTCCTAAATTATTCAGAGGCTTTGAGCTACTATATAATTGCTGATTTTATTTTACCGTGGAAAGAATGCAACATATATATATAATCTCATATTCAGTATATGAAGATTCTGAGAACAAAAGATAATCTTTAGAATACTTCTCTTTGGTAACTCTTAATAATGAGTTTGATTTAATTAGAAAGAAAAGTTGTCCTATTTGATCTATATGTAAAGTTTGTTTTCTATTATTCTTAAATTTCATCAGCAAAAGAAAATCAGACTCAGTGATAAAATTTGTAGGTTTACAAGATTACTATGTCACTAGCATAGTTTATTTTGTTTTCCATTTTTCCCTGTGATTATATATGA